TTGACCATTATATGAGACGGCAACAAATCGACTAATTGATATCATCAACTGATAATATTGAGCAATATTATAGAGATTCAAATCGGAGTTTGTTAGTGAGAAAATATAGTCGAAAATATTTGATAAAGAACTCGAACAATGAAATTCGATCGGAAGATTCGATGATATCAACTGGCAATAGTTGTCGAGAGCATAGATATCAGAAAAGAGACACTTGATGATGTTTTCCATTGAGGCCAACATTCTGAACGTATCTTTTGGTGATAACATAAATTTTACCTTAAGAAACCACTCTATCCAACTTTTTTAAAAACTAAAAAAGTTTTGAAAACTTCTTCTTGTCAAAATTATTTCACAGACATTTCACAACTAGAACCAATAATGAAGGCCAACTAGAACCAATAATAAATGAAACTAAAGATTCGTTTTGACTAAGATTGCTTGTAGTTTTGCGTTGTTGCTATGTTTTTTGGAGTTTGGATTCGTTGCCAATTTGTATTCGTTAATCGTTAGCCTAAAAACAAACCTAATCGGAGTCGACAATCGATTGTTGGTCGCCGAATAATAGATCGCGAATGGCGAGACAAAAAAGTTCACAATAAGTACCTAAAAATTCGAAATTCTCATAATCAGAAGTTTCTTCATGAATACCGCATAACAACCCAGAAAGATGATTTGTTGAAGAGATGCCGACAGCTCCTCACTGACACCAGCTCTGTGTTCAAGCAATGAAAGATCTCTATCGTAGAGCGAATCCACGAGGATGAACACGCCTAAAGTGTGTTCCTTGCGACTAGACTATTAGTCGACGAAACAACCTCAGTTAATTTTTAGTAGATTAATGTACTTTCTAAAACACGCGCTTATAATGGTTTATGGTGTCAAGATATTCAGTCGACTAAAAGTGGATAAGAACTGTAAAATTTAAAAAAAACGGCAATTGGTGGACCTGGAGTTACTGCTGCGATGGAGGTCCTCCCAGATCCCCACCAGAAGAAGTATATGTTATCGGTTTGCTGGGATCTCAAAGGGGTGATATATTGGGAACTCCTTGACTATTAATGCTCTATTGTACAGTGATTAGCGCAAAAAACTGAATGAATAAATCAACGAAAAAGGACCGGAATTGAGAAAGGTCATTCTCCTCCATGACAATGCCTGGCCACATGCGCTCGCTCTCTCCACAATCCACGATTTGTGGTGGGAACTCCTACCTCACCCACCGTACTCTCCTGACATTGTCCCCTCAGATTATCACCTTTTTCGGTTAATGCAACATTCCTTGGATGGAGAGCACTTTCAAAATAAAGATAACCTCAAAAAGTGGCTCCAAAACAATTTTGACCCAAAACCAAAAATATTCAATGAGAGAGGGATTCGCCAATTGCCAGTAAAATGGGCGAAAGTAATCGAAAATAATGGAGACAATTTTTATTGATTTGTTTGTTTGATTGCCAATAAAATTTAACTCAAAAATTTACCAACTTTCAACCTGTCAACCTAATATAAACAATGCTATTTAATCCGAATTGAATTTGCATACATAAGATTTACATGTTGTCATGAATATGACTAGGTAGCTTTTTCAACGAGTACTTTTTAATCAGCGCATTAGTCATGAGGAAAACACTCTAGATACGCCTGAACTTGAAATGAAATTCCCAATGATTTGATAAAAATTATTTTATTAAACATTTTATTATTTTATTTTATGAAAAGAAGAAACTACAGAAAGTTATTAGTTCTTAAAAATGAATGATGTTCTTTCTTTTTCTTAATATCTGCTTTCAGCCACTAACCTGAAAAGGAAAGAGCTGCGAGGAACATCCATAAGATTTCCTTTATTGACTTAGAGTTAGCTTCAATCATTAAAAATTATTAGACATAATAATAAACAAATTGTTACATTTATTGGACTCTTTCAGATGGTAGAGTCCAATAAATACATGGTTTTTATTCTGGTTTTGGAAACAGCTTCATACATCTAGAATCACCGCCCCACAATTAAAGTTCTTCCCTTCTGTAAACCATAAATTTGTGCCCACGTTTGTGACATTTTAGGATCAAAAAGATGTAATAAAAACTAGAACTTAGTATTTTTATTAGAACCCTATAGAATTTGATTTTTTTGAAGCGGATAATTTATATTCAATTTTGTAAATTTTTAAACATAGAAATTGAATAGAAAAAACCAAAACTTGCCGTAAAATTGAATAGAAAATACTAGGAATATTTGAAAATTCAGACACACTACCGAAACTTTCCAGCCGTCGACAAATGTGCCGATGATTTTGCAGAGAAAATTCATGAAGATCGGATTCGCTCTTTCAAAGTAAAATCGAGACACATATTCTGCATTTATTTATTAAATTGCTGCAAGGAAATTAGATTTTTCTTCATCCAAGATGTACATAAAAGTTATCACACTAACCAGAGTAACATCATTCTTCTCAAATAATTTACACAATCACTTTATGTTCCGAAGAATTCTCTCCAAAATAAAACACAGCCTCTGCATTTCGATAGTCCGACTTCGAAAAACATCTGCTTCCTGATGAGATTTCAAGCGCCACAGCTTTGGCATATCATTTTAAAATCAGTTTTCAAATGAACCAAATCGTTTGAGCCAACCATTTATCTCTGGTCTGAAACAATCACCGGAATTCTGAGCGGCCTGATCAATTTTTACACTGATCGATTCAATTTCATCGCCATCGCCAAAAACAATGAAGAACTATCACTATTTCATTCTTTTTACCAGGTCAAAAAGTATTTTGGGACTCGTGTTATTTTCGTTTTCAGTTCACATCGACTCTGTTGGAACTGTACGCACGTTTAGGCGCGATCAAAGTGTTCTTGCCGCGTTGAGCGGTATGATATGGTTTTGGGCTAGGTCCCCAACTTCCTTCGCGCACGGTATTCATGAAGAAACTTCTGATTGTGAGAACTTCGTATTGTTAGGTACTTATCGTTTTCATAGCAATAGGACGTGGGCCAGACTTTAGTTTATCCCCAAGACCAATTTTTCCCCAAAAAATTTTCTAGATCCATTTTTTCTAGCTTGAGCTGCTCATCAATCTCGATCACCATGGCGTTTAAACTGTGGATTGGCGATGTGTTATAAATGTGTGACGGAAGAGTGCAAATTGAAGACAGAAGAAAGTAAACATCAATGTGATCGAATGGGTTGCTTTACCGGCTCTAATTTTGCCCTCTTTTTGATTGGTAGTTTTATCTAAACATTTTGCAAGTTTGGTTACAAGTCACGTCATGGCTTTTGTCTTTTATGTTACTCTTATTTTAGCTAAGAATACAAATTGCGTGTGTTTGTGCTAAAACTGTTCAAATGTAGCTTAGAATAGCTCTAAACTGATGGCACGAATATAAATAGGGCAAAGCGAGCTTTTTATAAAAAACTTTTGGTACTGATCATAACTGATAAACTTTTAGCATATATGGTTAACGCGGTAAAGCAGAATTAGCGGAGAACTTATGAGACCAAAATAACCTTAGATTAAAATTTTGGGATACAGTATTTCACTTCATTACCTTCACTAATTTTCAAACGAGTTTCTATCCATGTTTTGCAATTGATTGTACAGGGTGCCCCAAAATTACCCGAACCAAAGTTTGCCGTGCTTTACTGTTATGCGCTTTTGGGTTGACTATCTTTGCTATAATGATATTGAAACAACTTCTGATCTATCTGCCGAAAAGCTACCGTGACAACAAAGAAGAATATCAAGAAGATTCACGAAAAGCTTCGATACATTCCGATGCATTCTCAACGACAAATGGCCAAGAAATTGAAGATTTCCAAAGGACCAATGAGTCGAACTGGGAAAAACATTTGAACATGAAAGCCTACAAGTTTGCGAAAGCTCAATTTCTCACAATTGATGCCAAAAATAAGTGCGAAGACCGATCAAAAGACCTAATGCTACGATTCAATGGCATCGATCACCGAAACATCCTTTTTACTGACGAGAAAGTGTTCACCATTGAGCAGAGGTTGAACGCTCAGAACAACAGGATTTATGCAAAAAGCCAACCAAACCAAGTGTTTCGACGTGCTGGATATCCCAAATCCGTCATGGTCTTCGCTTCACTTCTGACGGAAAAACTCCACTAACGAAGGCTGAACTCGATCCTGCGGATCTTTGGAAGAAGGGAAAACGACAGGCCTATGCATTTCGAGTTTATGAAAAAGTTGAGCTCACCTCAAATTTGGGATAAATGGTTTGTTATTTTTATCTATTGATACTAGCTTAGACTTATAATAAGTTAATACACATAACAAAGCTGAAGGACCCTGATTAACTAATCAAAAAGTAAGATCTAGTTTTTCCTTTCGGAGTCTTTATAATCGTCAGAAGAAATCCTTGTTTTGTTAGGGAAGTTTATAAGAGAGCTACTAGGTCTGAAAAGCTGCTGTCTGGTTAAGGGGTTAGTTATAATTGGTTGAGATAAAGGTCTAATAAACTTAAGCATAAAATGTAGTGGAATACAATTTCTGGTTCTTTCCCGTGATCACTAGACAAGGGTTTTGCACTTTATTCTTGGCTACTTTTGTATCCAAATTGTGTCCATTTTTCCCGAAAAGAGGCCATTTTTTAAAAAGAATTTCCAAATTGATTTGTTGGTTTTCATCAATTTCATGGCTTCTTTGATTCAAATTGATTTCAAAAGTTTAGAAGATCGATCAGAAGTTTAGAAGAGTTCGCAGTCTAGAAGATCGATAAGCTAGAGAAAGACTTATTTTTGTAGTTGAATACAGTCAGATTTGGCAATGGAAATCATTTGGTGGTGATTTAAACAAAAGCCAGGTGTTTTCCCGAATGTTTTCATAGATCTTTGTGGACAAATGATTGAGTTGACCTGTTTATGTCAATTCCTCAATTTTTATCTAATGCCGAAGGGAAAAGGAAAATCTGGAATCACCATCTGGGATAACAAAACTTGTTGTACATAAATTTTTATTTATAAAAGAGCAAAAGTCAAATGTGCTGCTTAAACATCATTCTGAGACTTCTCTGCGATGGGCTCTTGCAGATGAAACGAGCAGTTGGCGAACTGCTCGATCTATTCAGCCATCCCATTTTAGCGCAACGGCGATCATTGCCCATCTAAAGGCTTTAGATCCTTGCAAAATCGACAAATCCACCCACCACCCAATTCGTTGAACCGCCACTATATGGCGAATGACCACTATAGTTGACCGGTGATCCATCAGTCCAAGTCCCACTTCCAACAGCTCCTGTTCCGTATAAACCATTCCATGCCCATAAATAGTTGCATGGTGTGGCTACAGGTGCATTGAGAACATCTGTTGTGAGAAGATCTAAAAACTTTTATCTTTTGTTGTATTTTTTAGATCAAAGCGTGTCTTAAAGTGTAACTGCTTTTCCTTTCCATTTCTACGAAAGTACTCTACAAATTTAGGCTGTTCCCAGTTACGTATTCAAGTCCTAAGTCTAGCATTAAGTTTGAAATTTTACAGCATGAAATACACAAAGATTTAAGAAAGTTAGTTATTTTGTAAATGTGGACAAACCGCTCAAAAAGTTGTTCTCGTATTCACTGTGAACGGAGACCAAATGTGAGCCCATTTTTTGGCAGATTGCCTCCGCTGACGTGAAAGTGTAAGTCTGCCAATGAGTCCCGTCCGCATAGGTGAAGTTCTAGAAAGAAAACGGGGACAAAAATGGTTTTAAAGCCATGTTTTACTATGTCTCTTCATCAACGTACCTGCAGGTAATAGCACGAATCAGTCTTATCATAGTAGACCCATCCATTAGGACATTGAAAATCTAGAGAATTTCTGTTTATGATTTTCTTGAAAACAAATACCATCTCCATTGATTGAACAGATGAAAGGTCGAGCCAAAGTGCAATCACTTGATATCCATTTTCCAGTTTGCAAGTTCAAAGCGGTACACGAATTCGCAGCACTTGCATTGTTTGGCTCATCTGAAAACTTATCGAGTGATGCTTGCTTATCGGACATTTGATACGCACCTCGCCCCTTTTGGCCCATTGGCAATCTAACTTTAAGCTCAAATTTCTTGGTGTTGGGCTGTCGAATTAAAAGATTCTTGGTAGCATTAGATGCGCCAAGTCTTTCTCTGTCGATTCGTACAAAAACTATTTCAATTCGAAAGCTCAAAACCAAGATATTTGAGCTCAAAGTTGGATTGCCAATGGCAAACGCGCGTAGCAAATGTCCCACAATCGCTTGCTTGGTTGCTTTCTGAAGCTCGATATTTTACAAGTTTTACCCCGCTTTATTAACATTTCCTCTTTACTACTGTATCTTTTAAATCAGTAAGTCCGAAATTATTTTAACCCAAACTTTGGGATTGAAATTTAGACGGAAAACTCCACGGAACCGACTCGGAGCCCAATTCACATAAGCAAGCGGTGATCCGTCCGCGTAATTCCAAGTGTAATCGGCGTCTCTTTCCACGCCAATGTAGGGATAAATGTTGTTTCCAAGTTCTGAAGTAAATCCAATTCTGTATTTAGCGTGACTAATGAGGCAAACCATTTGGCGCCACTGCGAACAAGTAGGCATTCTCGAAAGAGTTCTGAACTTTTGCCGGGATTCCACCTAATATAAGGCAACGACGAAACGCGTTCATGTAGGAGACAGCTGAAAATTATGCAAGCATTATCAGCTAATGGTGGTTTGGAAGATTTAGCTAACTGCCAAATCATTCAGAACCTACTTTGATTAATCAAAAACATGCACACATCCTCTTTCGGCATCGGTTCACTTCCACTTGGACACGAGAAAGTTTGAATCCCAATGAAAAGCGAACTAAAAAGAAATAACAGCTCCATTTTCAAGTGATTCAGAATAATTAAGCAAAAACCACCAAATAGATCAATGCCTTATCAGTTTTTGTCCCATAGTGTCTTGATTTGGTGATTAAATAGCAATCAGTGAGCCTTGTTCTCTGATTCATAGTCATAAACCTACCAGAATCAGCCCAGAAAAAACCTGTTTCTTGACCGGAAGTTCTGTTAATTTCTAGGGAAAGATTGCTTTCTTTAGAGTGAGTACCTCGTGAGTAACGTACCTTTTCAAGGGTGGGTAATTTGGGAAAATTCTTGCAGTAGTGTTTTGATGGCAAACCGGATAGCAAAATTTTTGGATATCGGACTTTGGGTCATAACAATTCGGAAAATGGTTTCCCTTCTGACACCAAAGTTCACAATTTTTCCAAAAACAAAAATTTTCGTCTCAAACTCCGGATGATGAGAAAAAAAAAGAACTCTTAAAGAAATGATGAGATCTTCAGATAAACGATCAGAGATCGCAACTTTCCTCAAGAAGCTAAAAAGCCTTCTTTAAACCAAAACTCATGAAAACTTTGATGTCATTTTCTCAAGTTCGATAGTTGGTCAAGAAATTTGATTCAAAAAACTGTTTCGAGAAGCAAAAAAATACGGAAATGCGGTCTTTATGAACGAATAAATGAAGTCCACAAAACGGTAAGGAGATTTGAAATTGAAGAGCGTTTTTCTCATTTGGAGTTCGTAAAGGAAATCGATGTGTCCAAAAATGACGTAAGAAATTAAAAAATCGCCGAATATTCAGTCAATCAAGAAAAGTAGCAAATTATCTCTCTGAATATCTTATGATTTAAACTTTATTCTCAACATATTCAATCAAACATGAAAAGGGAAGAATGCGGTTAACTTTCGAACAGTTGTTTTCAATTTTTTTTAAAAACACCCGTGTTTATACAGGGTGTCCGAAGTTTCTTGTTTGTTTTTTTTTAAGTTTGCCTCGAATTTCCTCAAAATCTGTGGGGGCTCTTGGTGGTCACTCTGGTGCCAAAAGTGTTTTTTCTGTGGGGAAAAGAAATGACTTTTTCGAAATTTATTTCGGTGCATAATAAACACTGTTAGGATAACTACAAATTTAAACCATACACTTTATTGATCAGCGTTCCCTTGGAAAACAGGATACTTCTTTTAAAAAGGCGGGTTGAAAATCTTTTATGTACGACAGATTATTACATAATGCAGATGAGTTAAGTGTTTGGCTAAAAATCTTAGTTTATATATTACCTCTAATATGACATCACGATGCCAGTAGAAAGTTTTAATTTTATGGCAAAAATCTCATGGTGGTGGTGAAAAATTTTCGTGTATGGGGGTCATGAAATTGAAAAATTTCAAAAAAAGTCATTTCTTTTCCTCACAGAAAAAACACTTTTGACACCAGCGTAACCACCAAGAGCCACTACAGATTTTGAGGAAATTCGAGGCAAACTTACTTTTTTTTCGGACACCCTGTATTATTTTGGAAAAACACAACTTTTGTTGCCAAGCATCTGAAAGTTTCGTTAAAAGTTAAAGTAGAGTTTAAGATATTCTCTCAATTTTACAACCATCAAAACACAAACTTTCAATTCGATTTCTTTCTTGCGTTCATTCTTTTTTTGTTGATTGTTCAATAATTCTAATGCTTTCTTTTTAGAAATGAGGGTGTTTGAATCGCTCAACTGCATTGTCTGCAAGCAACCGTGTAAGTTTTTGCTTCTTAGTAATGGATTTCGAAATAATCTAGATTTTAAAGAGTAAATCAAGTTGTTCTTGTTTAATTTTCTCAATTTTAGTTGCTCGAGTTGCCAATCAACCTCGTTCTCCACGACCTTTGAAGTGTGGATTGGCGATGTGCAATGAATGTTTCGAGAAAGAGAAAGAAATGGATGAAGAAGAAAGGAAGCATCAATGTGGACTTAGTTATTGTTTCAAGAATCGCAATTTTGCCTACTTTTTGATTGGTGAATTTTATTATGAATTTTGTTTCAACTAAAAACGAGATTAATTAATTGAATTGTTTTAGACGTTTTGTCACAAGAAAGCGCTCTAGTGTTTACTCCAATGGGATATGTCCTTCTGAAGGTTGGATTTGGGATTTGCAAATCATAGTGATTCTTTTAGCCTTTTGAAATTCCGGAATGTCCAGTTTGTCAGGAAGAATGTGCGTTTGATGACTTGCTTTGGAAAAGTTCTTGGTTTAGTTTCGAACGAAATCGAGGCAAAGAAATCGTTTTCTCTTGATTGCGGACACATAATTTGCACGGGTTGCTATTTAAAGACACGAACAAAAACGTCTTATTACTTGTCACAAAACAAGATCATCACTTGTCCAACTTGTCGCATGACTATGCACCCTCCTAACGACAAACGGAAAGATCGATTTCATGGTAGATGAATTCTCTTTGCATTCACTAATCTTTTTTAGATTTTCTGAATGAGCTACCCGAAATGACTCGACAAATAGAAACAGTGGAGAAAGCTTTCATGACTGTTGTAACAAATGCTTTAACGGATGCCGAATATAATCATAGCTGCAATGAATGTCACGAAAAGGTATGCCTACTTAAATTGATTCTCATGGAGACATTTCAGAATATTGTCGACAAGATGTTCTACTGTGGCGAATGCAGTTTTGAAGTGAGCGAATGCAGTTTTGGAGTCATTTTTACTTTTTAGATTTGTGGTGCTTGTGCTTACAAGAAGCATCATCCACATAAAGCCATTCCGTTACTGGAGAAAAAGGTATTTTGCATCTTTTTGTTATTTTGAAATTAAAAAGCTTGCATTAGTTCAATTTATTTCAGGCTAATCAAATGTCGATGGAACTTCAACAAGAATCAAAAAATGTCATCAACGCTTGCAAGGATTTGTTTCCTGAATTGCACAAGGGACTTCTCGAGGGCATCAACGTCTTTGAAACGGTATTTTTATCAAATAAAACTATTTGAAGTATCTTCTTTAGAAATTCCTTTCGAAAGAAGAAATTCTCAAGGACGCATCAACTTTTGCCGATTTACGGGAGAAACACGAGTCATTTACGTATCTTTTGGCACTTTAAAACAACACACTTTTTGTTTAGAAAAATAAAGTCCACGTTCGAATCATATGCTGAGGATTACTTACCTTGTTTACGCAAATTCGACACTGGAGTTAACGTGAGTTAATAGGGTTTTAAAAGAATTTAATTTAATTGGTTTAGCAATTGATTCAAACTCTCAACGAGATCCGTGATGCCTAGGAAATACGAATACAGGATTATATCGAAAACTTTTGATTATTAATTATTTTTGATGTATTTTGCGAATAAATTGTCTATTAGAGCAAGCATGTTTATTGAGATGGATTTTCATCTCAACTATAAAAAGAGCACTCGTATTTTGTTGTTCAACCATTTTTTTTACAAAGCTCCTCTCTTCTCTTAACATTCTCTTCATCCACATCCGTCGAACGTTCCAATATTACCACTTCGAGTCATATAGTCAACGATATGCCAGAATTAGTGATCCACATTACATGACCAGCAAAAAAGGCAGCGCGAATTAGATTTTCTTAATGAGCTACCTAAAATGACTCGACAAGTACAAGTGATGGAAAACACTACAATAAATACCGAAGATGATGTAATCGTAGCTGTAATAAATGTGACAATAAACAGTACACAAAGTGGGTATACCTGTAACAAGTTATAACAGTTTAAACTTTACACCCAAAAATGCCGTTTAACAACTTTTTTGTACGTTAAAGCATGGATAAATATCACGTTAAATAGAGCATAGCACATCAAAGTCCGATAGAAACCGAAAGTTTACATTGTTTCGCGCCGACGTGCATTGCCTTATGGTAGGACTTTATGCTTGACTTTAGGTTTGATAGCTAAAGTTACAGAACTAGTACTAGCAGGCATGTTCAGTGCCAATTCCTGCTCCGAAACCAAGCCCATGTCTAGTTGTAGTAACGTATGGCTGATATTCCAATAAAGTGTGATATTTCAGCACTCAGCAGGCAATTACTTACTAAACACTGATCCTAATCCTTGAACGTTGTTCACCATTCAGGTGACAACAGGACTAACCGGCAAAACCACTCAACACCATTTTATTCGACTCGAAACGTCCATGACGGCCGCCGAGAATAAGAGCAAATTTCTAATCGATGGTGTTCCCGTCTCTGCACAATTATTCCAAAAGTTTGCACAAAATTTTAAGCATTTGAACTCTAAAAATTTAGACAAGGAACTTCAACTTATTACATGGTTGACTATCCAGTTACACCCGGCACTCAATCCATTCAAACGACCGATCCAACCGGAAAATATGCGGCTATTGTTTATGGATTTGCTGACGTCACCGCTTATGCTTATACTCCGGGAATTGATCTCCCAAGTAAGTTGAAATGATGGTTGATAATTAGACTGATTTGTTTTCCATTTCTCTATCAAAATTTTTCATTTAGCGATCGGCAATTGTTGAACGACTTCACATTAAACTCTTCGCAAATAAACTTGAAAATCTTACTTCTAGATGATAACGACAAAAAAACAAACATTCAAAACAATACTGATTACAAGGTCCGTTCAAGCAGGCTGTATTTTGTGTAAATATGACTAATTGAAAGTGATCTCACAGTGAGAAAATCAGCTCTGATTTGTACCTGATCACTGCAAAAAACTGATAAGCTTCCATTGGTAAAGTTCCATGACAGTGCAAGGGTCGGAATTTTTTCTTGTCACAAAATACAGGCAGATGAACAAAATGTCGAAATATGTGACATTTTTTGAGAATTTTAAATAGATAATTACCTGGTATTAGAGAATGATTAGGAGCAGACGAGGCTGTGATCTAGATGAACAAGTACCGGATCTGAATCCAGATCCCATAGTATGAATAATAAGTTGAATCTGGTAGCAAGCAAAGGTTGAATCACTTGGCACTTTCTTGTTTATATCATTTAGCAAGTGAGAATGCGAATCAAAAGTTCCTAATTGGATTTTCGGAGACGCCAAGAAA